CTAGAAATATAGTGAGTAAAGTTTCCATTATTTCTGTATAATTTACAATGATTCTACTTTACAGCTGCATATATATTAGCAAGTGAAGAGTTAAACATTAGCCACTACTTCTTGAAACATAGTATCAAGCACTGCAGAAAAGAAACCTATTTTGAGTAAAAAAAAAGTCCTTACCATGTGTGTGTGTTCAAATAGACTGACACCTAATGAGAGTGAGCATTGCAGCCAATAATCCAATCATCCCATCGCCTTGGTTATATCAGCTCCCTCCCCACTGGTCTAGGGTTACACAGGCTATCCCCCCTTCAGTCTATTATGAATGCTGCTGCTAGACTCATACACCTTACCAACCGATCAGCGACTGCTGCCGCTCTCTGCCAATCCCTTCACTGGCTTCCACTAACTCATCGTATAAAATTCAAAATACTAACCACAGCTTACAAAGCCATCCACAACATTGCCCCTAGCTACATCATCAACCTCATCCGCAGATATTGCCCAAATTGCCCACTCTGCTCCTCCCATGATATCCTCCTCTCTAGCTCCCTCATCACCTCCTCCCACGCTCGCCTCCAGGACTTCTCCAGAGCCTCTCCCATCCTCTGGAACTCCCTACCACAGCATGTCCAGTCAGCCCCTACCCTGTCTGCCTTTAGGCGATATTTGAAAACTTCCTTCTTCAGGGAAGCCTACCCCACCTCCACCTAAGAACTGTACTTGAATCACCTCCGCCAGATCATCTCCTGTAGCTATCACCTTTTGTATCATCTCCCCCTTCCTTTAGATTGTAAGCTCCACGAGCAGGGCCCTCCTATTCCTTCTGCACTGAAATGTATTGTAAGTGTACTGTCTCCCTTATATTGTAAAGCGCTGCGCAAACTGTTGGCGCTATATAAATCCTGTATAATAATAATCATCCCAATATGCAGTTTAGTACGTCCCAATTTGTTTAAAGTTTTAGACCCACTTGCACTGGGCGATAATGCAGTGCAATATGCACTCGATTAGATTCTTTGCAGCACAGGTGAGACAAGATGATCTGTCACCATAAAATCATCACATAGTGGACTTTGTCCTATATGATGAAAAAAAAAAAAAGTAAAAAAATAAATAAGTTTACACGTAAGCTCATAACCCCCCAAAAAAATAAATTTTTGTGGCACCGTCCACAATGAACGTAAATGCACACATCAAGGGCGCCTACACACGTAAATATCAATTGGGATACACATGTTACATATTGCTGTGTACGGCGGAGTGAGAGCAATAGTTCTGGCACCAGAGCTCCCTTGCAATGCTATACTAATGACCTTTTAAGGCCTGGTTTGCACCAATGCAGTTTGCTTTAGATCTGTTTTTGTAATGCTTTTTGCCTTTTGCTTTACGTTTTTACACACACGTTTTTGCCGAGATTTTTCCAGCGGGTTTTTATTTTGTTAAAGTGGAAATGTTTTGTTGCTGGGCGGAATAAAAACGCAGCAAAAACACACTACATGTGTTTCAGCAGTATCTCCATTGAAATCTGTTGTAGCAAAAATGCTGCTTTTTGCATTTAAAGAAGCTCCTGACCCTTTCCAAAAATGCAGCTGCTCAAAAAAGCATAGATGTGAACGTGTCCCATAGGAGACCATTTCTGCAAAAAACACATACAGTCAGGTCCATAAATATTGGGACATCGACACAATTCTAACATTTTTGGCTCTATACACCACCACAATGGATTTGAAATTAAACGAACAAGATGTGCTTTAACTGCAGACTGTCAGCTTTAATTTGAGGGTATTTACATCCAAATCAGGTGAACAGTGTAGGAATTACAACAGTTTGCATCACCGTGGGGTTTTTTATTGTTTGAGATATAAGCAAAAAAATACAGAAAATAAAACAAAACGTGTTTTTCTTTCTGTTATAAAATTTTACAAAAAAAAATATTTCTACAAAAATTTAGCCCAAAATTTATACTGCTACATTTTTCATAAAAATAACCCAAATCCATGCATATTATGTAGTCTGTGTGAAAGTTATGCAGGCCATAGATGGTTCATTTATCGGCCGATTTTTCATCGGAAAGAATAATTGGCCGATTTTCACACTGTTAGTGGGGCAATGGCATCGGACTATTTTCGCGGTTCCTCCTCATTTCGTTTATTGGTCACACTGGAAAATTTGTGAAAAACGGTCGATTTTTGCAATCGTTGATGGCAACAGAACTAACGATGTTTTGTTTTTCGGACGAAAAGTCGGCCGATAAACGAACCGTCTATGGCCTGCATATGTCTACAAGCTATGGTACCAATCATTGAAAATTGATCACACCTGATGTACTGATGGCCTATATCATTTCTTGAGGCCCTAACATACCAGGAAAGTTGTTTGGAATATGAAAAAAAAAAATTTTCCACACAAAATTGTCATAATAAGTTATTTCTCACACACACAACATAGGCATACTTGCAATTCCACCCCAAAATACATTCTGCTACTCCTCCTGAGTATGGTGATACCACATGTGAGTCTTTTCCACAGCCTGGCCACATACAGAGACCCAACATTCAAGTAGCACCTTAAGACATTCTAGGGGCATAAATAAAACCTCTAATGTCCTGACTACGTATCACAGTTTTGAAGGCTCTGGAGCACCAGGACAATGGAAATGCCCTTAAAATGACGACATTTTTTTTCTTTAAAATTAGAAAACCTGTCATTCTTACCTGCTCTGTGCAGTGGTATTGTACAGAGTAGCCCCGATCCTCCTCTTAGGTCCCCCTGCTGGTGCTCCTGGCCCCTCCTGCCTAGTGCGGCTATGGGCCTACCCAAGCAGGCACATTCGCAAGCCTCTGTTCTGTGTGCCCATTCACACACACAGTACGGCTTGGCCCTGCTCTCTCTTCATTGGTTTCCTGTCTTTGATTGACAGCGGGAACCAATGAGCTCCTGCTGCTGTATCAGCCAATGAGCAGGGGGGAGAGCCAATGCTCTCGTGCACATCACTGGATCACGATGGGGCTCAGGTAAGTTTAAGAACATGGGCTGCTGCACACTGAAGCTTTTTTACCTTCATGCATAGATTGCATGAAAATAAAAAAACCTTGAGCCTTTACAACTAATTTAACAAGAAATGTTATTGCATTTGTGTGCCCTATAATTAAATGTAGTGTATTTTATACTGAATTGTGCAATTCGTAGACTGGTTTGCTAATCAAAAAATATATAAAATTTGATTAAATCTTCAGGCCCAAAAAACACAAACAGCCCTGGCCATAAAAAGGTTAGAGGTTGTAAACCTTCACAAATAGTGAAGTGACTGGCCTCGGGGGATACACAGAAATGAAACACAACCTCCTACATAAGTTGTACCTGTTTATCTGTAGCCATCTCTCCTCTACTTTTTACAGCCTGTCTGAGCTTCCAGAAAGCAATGAGCAGGGAGCTGAAGTTACATTCTGCAAAGCTCAGTGAGGAGAGCTGATTAGAGGTACACACCACACTTTACACAGCATGCAGGTGCAGAGCTAAGGCTGTCAGTCACAATCTTTGAGCTGGAGGTTCGTTCCATCAACTTATCTCTTGGTGTATAGAGGGATATTCTTTGTTGTTTCATGTCTAAGGTTAACCACTTAAAGGATAAGTTCACCTTTATGTAAAAAATAAATAAATACATATTTTTGCAGGTAAAAAATGTGCGTTCATTGTGGTGTTTTTTTTTTTTTTTTTTTTTTTTGTCACAATGGAGGGTGCAGTATAAGGATCCTGCAGACTCTCAGTAAGCAATACGGGAGGTATGGGCAGGCAGTTACTGAATGGCAGAAAGATCAGTGAACTACGAGAGTGTTCACCAGCACCCTCGCAGTTCAGTGAGAATTATAAGCCATCGGCCACAATGGCTGATGGTATTTGTAGTCTATTCATTCACAGGAAATGGCGAATAAATGACAGGGCCTTGTGGGCGGAGCTCCACACAGCTGCGCTGTTTTCAGATTGTGACAGTGGGTGCAGACAGAAGATCCCAGGCCCTATGTCACAGAGAGGGGAGCGCTGGCAGCAGGAGGTGGATGTACATGTTACACCCCAAATATGGGTGTAATGTGACATGCTCCTAAAAGGTGAACTTATCCTTTAAGTGTGTATGTTCAGCAGAAAATAAAGCTTAAAAAAAATAATCAAAATAGAAGTGAGGTAACATACTGTGGGGAGTTTGCAGGGTTTAGTACATATTTTCTGAAACATGCAGTGGATGAAATAAAGTCCATTATTACATATTAGCCTGCAATACACATAGGTCACAAGCACATCATGTACTATGCTTTAGGATACTGTATCATCATATGCAGACAGCCTGTCAGCTGAGTATAGTGATTATGTGTCAGAATGGTGCTGGTGGAAGACTGCACACCTCCACACCAACACAGCTGTCGCTGCACAGAGAAGATGGAAGGCTAGAAGCCATGAACACATGTACATGCACCAGCAACAGCGGGTAGCACAATGACATAGAAGCAAGCAAGCTGAAGAGACAAAACGCTGGGCAAAGTTCAGTAACATTCCAGAGATTCTTGTTAACCACTTGCCTACCAGGCACTTATACCCCCTTATTTACCAGGCCAATTTTCAGCTTTCAGCGCTGCCGCACTTTGACAATTGCGCGGTCATGCAACATTGTACCCATATGAAATTTTGATAATTTTTTTCTCACAAATAGAGCTTTCTTTTGGTGGTATTTAATCACCGCTGGGCACTTTACTTTTTGCGCTATAAATAAAAAATTGCCAAAAATTTGAGAAAAAAAAAGTTTCTTTGTTTCTATTATAAAATTTTTCAAACAGGTAATTTTTCTCCTTCACTGATGTGCGTTGATGAGGCAGCACTGATGGGCACTGATAGGCGGCACTGATAGGCAGCACTAAAGGGCACTGATAGGCAGTACTAATGAGGTGGCACGGATAGGTGGCACTGATAGACAGCACTAATGAGGTGTCACGGATAGGCGGCACTAATATGCAGCACTGATAGGCGACACTGATGATGGGTACTGATAGACGGCACTGACTGGCGGCACTGACTGGCACAACCGCTGGGCACTGACTGGCAGCACTGCTGGGCTGCACATGTGGGTGGCACTGGTGGGCAAAGGTGGGTGGCACTGGTGGGCACAGGTAGGTGGCACTTCTGGGCACAGGTGTGTGACATTGCAGAGTGGCACAGGTGGGTGCACTGCTGGGCACAGGTGGGTGATCTGCTGGGCACAGTTGTGGGCGGAGCTAGTGGGCACACTGCTGGGCACAGGTGGGCGGAACTTGCGGGTGCCACTGCTGGGCACCGATCATCAGGGCACTGATGATCAGTGCCCTGATGATCGGTGCCGATCCCCGCTCTGACAACTGCCGGTTCTCGGCAGTACTTTCCTCACGCTCTGACAGCGTGAGGAAAGTGCAGCCGAGAACCGGCACTTGCATTTCCCTCTGATCAGCGTGTCATTGGACACCGCTGATCAGGTGGTAAAAGGCCGCTGTGATTGGCCTTTTACCACATCACGTGATCAGCTGTGTCCGTAGGACACAGCGATCACGGAGATCGCCGGGTGCGCGCCCCCTGGGGCGCGCAGGAGAGCGCGTTCTGGGGGGACGTCATATGACGTCCACTCAGAACTGGCCGGCCGCAGTGCAGCCGTCATTCGGCTATCTGCGGTCGGCAACAAGTTAATCAAACCGTGAAGTGCAAAGCCGCACAGTCATGATGTAGACCCATACAGGGGTTGGACAAAAAAATGGAAATGCTATATGATTTGCAGGTGTGAAAGTGATGACATATTTTGCGTTGAAAGCGGAAGTGATGTAACATTCTTTTGCTTCCACTGTGTAATGAGACACCCAGCTAACCGTTGAGAAGCCTCACTTTCGTCATTCATTGTGTGTGCTGCTAGTAATATGGAGTCGTGTTACAGCCTATAGAGCTTCAAAGAGGGCAAATTGGTGGTGCCCACTTAGCTGTTGCCTCTGACTGAAGTTATCAGTTTATTTGCCGTTTTGTGAGGTACAGTATCAAAGGTTGTGACAGCATATACAATTCCTGGGAAAACGTCGTCTGATAAGCATAAGCGCGGTCGACATGGTCAACTGACAGAGACCAAAGGACATTGCGCAGGATTATGGCCCAGAAAAGGAAAACAACTGTTACAAAAGTAACTGCAGAGCTCAATCTCAGTCTTTACAGGAATTCTGTGTATCTCTCCTGCTGCCCGCACTGCTGAACTCCAATCCATTGCTGAGAAATTGCCCTCTTAAGTCTGGGCAACTGACAAATCCTGGAGGGTCAGAACTTCTGGGTCCCCACAAAGCTTGCTTGTTTGTCTTTTTGACCTCTATGTCATTACAAAGCTCAGCAGTGGCCTTGAGGTCCGAGAGTAAAATCAGTGAGCTCTGTGGGGGACCCAGAAGGTCAATGCTCGCAGAAGTGTTGGTTTACCAGCTGACTTCAGGGAACTATCTCACAGAAATGTACCGACATTTATCTGCACAAGCAGTAGAAGAGTATTTTTTTTTTATATCTTTACAAATACTTACATTCCTCAAATGTTTTCCTTACGTTTTTTTTAAAAACCTTTCACTAGACAGTGAAATATGGTATGAGTTAGCTTTGAAAGACTGGTTCCGGTAACAAAGTGCAACTAATACCCGAAGTAGCTATTCCAGGCCTGTTGTCAGTTTTTAGGCCTTGTTGTTATTGCTCTTGTTTATGCAGCCAGAGACACCAGTTGTTGCTGGCAGGCAGACCATGTAAGTCTATGGGGATGCAGCAGCTGTACGGATACAGCTGCTCGTCATAATGTGGAAGGCATGTGAGTGCATAGCTCCAAATGAAGATAGTATGCATTTGGGACCACTCACCTACTCCGCCTGACACATTGGGACAACTGACTCTTTCCGTACAGCATCTCTGTTCTCATAGGCTTACATGGGCTGCCTGAATGCAGCACCTCCAGCCGCATGGAGATTGACAGTCAACTGTCATATACTGTATAAAGTGCTTTTTTGAGAATAAAAGAACCTTAAAGTATAACAAAAGGCAAAACTTTTTTTTATTCTGAAAGAGTGGAGAGAGAATAGAACACCTGTCAGGAGGTTTTTATTGCGGTCTGTGTCCATGTTAAGATTCACCCCCTTTATTTGTCATATTTATTACTATAGCTGTCATATCTTTTCATTATCATCAAATGCGAGAGTGAAAGAAAATCTCAGATTTTAGGTTGCCCCAAAAAGACCTAGCCCCGTGAAGACTGAGATTGAGCTCTGCAGTCACTTTTACAGCAGCAGTTGTTTTCTTATTCTGGGTCACCATCCTGCGCAATGTCCTTTTGCCTCTTTGGGTCAGTTGACCATGTCACCTACACTTATGCTTATCAGATGACATTTCCCTGGAAACTCTATATGCTGTCATAACCTTTGATACTGTACCTCATGACATGGCAAATAAATTGGCAACTTCAGTCACACAGGCTCCAGCTAAGCGGGCACCAACAATTTGCCCTCTTTGAAGTTCAGTAAGCTCTGGCATGACTCTGTATTACTAGCAGCGCGTGCAGTGAATGACGAAAGTGAGGCCTCCCACCCGTTAGGTGTGTGTATAATGTGTGTGTGTGTGTATGTATGTGTATGTATGTATGTATATATATATATATATATATATATATATATATATATATATATATATATATATATATATATATATAATTATACACACACTTTTATTTTCTATATACGAAGTGTTTTTACATGATCAAATGGTGGCTTTTTGATGATAGGTTTGCTTTAAATGCAATATTGAGCTGCTGTCTCTCTTGCTATCCATTGCTAGTAGAGAAAGAATAAATAGTATTTTGTTTTTTTTTCCAGAGAAATGGAAAGCATGAATTCAGAAGATGTATCAAATCCTAAAAAGGACACCATCATAAAAGAAAAGGTATATTTGCAGTTATTACACAATTTAGATAGGTCAACTTTATTTTGTTTATGGTGATTTCTTTCACTGACCCTACCTACAATCCTATGTTACACATGAAGTTTTCAGTTTCAACATTAAAGTTGATCTCCAGCTTTTAGTGACGTTTCAATAGTGGACCAAGCTAGTCCAAACAAACTATTATTTTCACTAACAGACACAGCGACTGTAAGCAATGTATAAACTGTATGGTGCCTCGGCTACATACATTATACAGTGCTGTGTTCGCAGCAGTTGGATGGGAACTTCCTTTCCTGCTCCTAGGACAAAATTGAGACAGGCTGACACCTTCTTAGACGTTTACAGGGAGCTTTGTCTTCTATTAATGAATACAAACTTTTGATTGGTTGAGGCAGAGATTGAGAAAACATCTGCCCGACTGTCTGCCTCAGCCAATCAGTAAGCTTTGTATTCATTCATAGAATGCAAAGCTGCCTGTGAATGGCTGAGCAACATTCAGCCCAGCTCAAATTTCTTCAAATATTGTGCCGGAAGTTCCCATCTCACTGCTTTTTACTGTATGTAGCTGAGGCTACATGTAATTTACACAGTCGTTGCATCTGTTAGTGAAGGTTAGTGCTGTTTGGCACTGCGTTACTTTAAAAGACAAATGCACGGGCATACAACACTGTACCCAAATTAAATTTATAACATATTTTTTTCTTCACACAAATGGCAATTTTTTTTTTTTGGTGGTATCCCGCTGGGTTTTTAATTGTTATTATATAAACAAAAAAAACAACTTTTTTTTTTTTTTTATAAAACAAAACAGTATTTTTTTTTACTTTTTGCTATAAAACATATACAATTAAAATAAAAAATCTTCTTTATAAATTTAGGCCATCGTATATTCTGCTGCATATTTTTTGTAAAAAAAAAAAAAATCGCAATAGGTGTATATTGATTGGTTTGCATGAAAGTTATAGCGTCTACAAACTATGGTGTATATATACTGGGATTTTTATTTAATTGTTTTATACTAGTAATGGTGATGATCAGCGACTTAAAGTGGGACTGTAATAGTATGGCGGGAAATCTGTCACTGCCTGACACTTTATGGGAATGAGTGACATTAATACAGTGATCAGTGCTAATAATATACACTGACACTGTACTAATGACACTGGCTGGGAAGGGGTTAACATTTAGGAGCAATCAAACGGTTACCTGTCTGCCTACAGTGCTTGCTGCATTCACTGTGTGGTGTTTTTACTTTTCACTTTGCAGAGAAACAAAAACAGGCACATCCCCGCTGACAAGACAGAGGTCTGTGTTGTTTACATGTTTACATTCACAGAGCTCTGTCCTGTTTTCCTCTTTGCCAATCAGTGGGTTCCGGGTCGGCAATCATTGGCCGGGACTCGCTGATTGGCTTGTGTTGTGACTAATCACAGCACAGTTGGGGCAGCGAGCGCACGCGCCCCTATCCGGAATAGCTGGATAACGTATTGGATACGTGATCCAAATACATGAGGCGGTCGGCAAGCAGATAATTTTACCTTTACTAAAACTTGGAGTTTATCATTGAATCTTTTTTTCTCAATAACTGCTAACTGGAGAGCAGCTTTTACAATAACAGACATTTTTTTTAATATAGTGTGTGTGTGTGTGTGTGTGTGTATGTGTGTGTGTGTATATATATATATATATATATATATATATATATATATATATACAGGTGAAACTCGAAAAATTTGAATATCGTGCAAAAGTTCATTTATTTCAGTAATGCAACTTAAAAGGTGAAACTAATATATGAGATAGACTCATTACATGCAAAGCAAGATAGTTCAAGCCGTGATTTGTCATAATTGTGATGATTATGGCTTACAGCTCATGAAAACCCCAAATCCACAATCTCAGAAAATTAGAATATTGTGAAAAGGTGCAATATTCTAGGCTCAAAGTGTCCCACTCTAATCAGCTTATTAAGCCATAACACCTGCAAAGGGTTCCTGAGCCTTTAAATGGTCTCTCAGTCTGGTTCAGTAGGAATCACAGTCATGGGAAAGACTGGTGACCTGACAGTTGTGCAGAAAACCATCATTGACACCCTCCATAAGGAGGAAAAGCCTCAAAAGGTAATTGCAAAAGAAGTTGGATATTCCCAAAGTGCTGTCTCAAAGCACATTATTAGAAAGTTATGTGGAAGGGAAAAGTGTGGAAGAAAAAAGTGCACAAGCAGCAGGGATGACCACAGCCTGGAGAGGATTGTCAGGAAAAGGCCATTCAAAATTGTTGGGGACTTTCACAAGGAGTGGACTGAGGCTGGAGTCCGTGCATCAAGAGCCACCACACACACAGACGGATCCTGGACATGGGCTTCAAATGTCGTATTCCTCTTGACAAGTCACTCCTGAACAAACAACGTCAGAAGCGTCTTACCTGGGCTAAAGAAAAACAGACCTGGTCTGTTGCTCAGTGGTCTAAAGTCCTCTTTTCTGATGATGAGAGCAAC